TGACAAAGGATCAGCCAGCCGAAGATTCTGTGCCCGAGGAGGATGCAAATACGGCCGATGGTCATCCAGACACAGCTGACGACCCCGAGGGAAAGGACCGGAAGAAGGGACACAGGCTCAGCGGCCTGACCTTACACTTTCACGACGCTGTATGTGCTGGGAGTGTTTGGCATTGAAGCTTTGATCATGATGAGTTCGTATCGTTGATGTGTTCAGTATCATTGAGGAGTTCATATCGTTAATGAATTCTTTTCGTTGATGAGTTTATATTATCGTTAACATATCGTTAATGAATTCTTTTCGTTGATGAGTTTATATTATCGTTAATGAGTTCTTATCGTTGTTAAGTTTATATCGTTGCGGAGTTTATATCGTTAATGAGTTCTTATCATTGTTTTCTTAATACGATTAAGAAGCTAATGTCGTTGTAGGGTTCATATCGTTGAGGAGTTCTTTCTTATCTTTTGTGAATTTTTATCGTTGATGTGTTTATATAGATGCTGGGTTCATAAAGTTGAGTGGGTCGTATTGTTGAGAGGGATAATGTTGTTGGTAAGTTCCAATCGATGACGAGTTTATAATCGCCGACGACCTCTCATATTGTTGACGAGTTCCTATCCTTTGTGAGTTCAAATTGTTCAAGAGCTCAAATTGTGTAGGGGTTCATATCGCTGGTGATCTCGTATCGTTGACGAGTTCAGATTGTTAATCAGCTCATTTCGTTGCTGACCTCGTGTCGTTGATGAGGTCACGTCAGACGATTTCTGTTTTGGCCATAGATTTTAATGCAGTTGCGCACGTTTGTATGAACTATTGAATAAAATTGCTTTTTATGCTTATATTGCTATTGATAATTTTACAGTTGGTCTTTGGCCTGCCACATTTAAGCTGCTGTCATTTATTGAAGTGATATCCTCTTGAGTATTGATTTTGTCCCCTCCTGAAAATTTCGATTATCTGCGCTTGAGTGCGTAGATGGTGTTATCTGCACTTGAGTGCTTAGATGATGTCCTCCCAGGAACTGGGTTAATCTCCTTTCCGTTTTAGAATGTTAAGATTATCCTCCCATGCTTGGGTATCAGGGTACATCAGATCTTGGATTATATTGTTAAATTATTGAGATATAGAGGTGAAATATAGAGACTTGGGTTGCTTAACATGGATCTCAAGTGACGAATTGTTTCTTGGACTTCATCAGGAACATACTGAAATAAACTACAATAGGAAGAATAGGCACTGAGTTAAATAATGATGCTCGATTGTTCTTAAGAAAAGAAATAATAGGAATAGTCCGAATAGTACAAGTGCAAAGGATCAGAAAAAGTGATTTGAAAATAGAACTTGGTGCAGTGTTGTTCTGTTGGGGGTCTAACACAGTCAGCTAGCATATTGTGTAAGAATAAATTACTTTAAATCCTGTTTTTTTGTGAGATGACTGAGGATGGCCGAGGGATTGTTTCAACCTTCTCATGTTTGTGGTGATGCATGTGCTTAGTATTTATGTGCACGTTTGGAGTCTGTGAAATGGTTAGGAAACGGTTTGGGAGTGGTGGCGTAAAGGAACCTATGAGTGCGTTTATAATTGCACGAAGTGAGGAAGGAGGAAATTCCTAGGTACGAGGGCTGTCGCACGGAAAACCGGAATTTGGCTGTAATTTGAAACTATTCAATATTTTCACATTCTGTAAACGCACACTTGTAAAACAATCATATTGGAATTTCCCGATTGAACACCATGAGCATTGCACCAATCAAACGAACACAGCAGTTCTCCAAAGATGGCTACCCACTTGGAAAATTGGTCAAGGATAGAAGTGAGATCTGTCATTCGGTTTCTGACCGCAAAAGGTCTCAAACCTATAGAAATACACGCTGAAATAAAGTCAGTTTACGGGGAGAAAGTAATGGCAAAGACACTGGTATATGAGTGAAGTAGTAAGTTCAAAGCCGGGCATACGGATATCAATGACAAAGTTCACCCAGGACCTTGTTCTTCTGCCAAGACTGAGGACAACAAGAGTCGCGTTAACGAACTCATTCAAACAGACAGGTGCCTAAAAATTCGCGAAATTTCCGAGTCACTAAACATTTCAAAGTCAACTGTCCATAGGATAGTGTTTGATGAGCTGCACTATCGAAAGGTCTCTGCTCGATGGGTCCCAAAAGAGCTGACAGCTGACCACAAGACGCGTCGTGTTGAAGTGTCTCAGACATTTTGCAGCATGACAACGCAACGCCACACACCGCAAACGCTACGAAAGACTGGATCCAAAGGTTCGGCTGAGAAGTTCTGCCACACCCACCTCACAGTCCTGACTTGGCCCCGTCAGATTATCACCTTTTTGGACCAATAAAACACCATATTTCTCGACAGCGATTCACCAACGACGAAGACCTCGTGGAAGCCGTGAAAGATTGGTTGAAATCCCTTGACGAAAAATTCTTCAGGGACTGTATCTTCTCCCACATCCAGCGATGGAAAAAATGCGTCCAGCGGGATGGTGATTACATTGAGAAATAAAGCACATGTTGAGGTATGATGTGTTACATTTTTATTATAATCGGACAAAGATTGTTGCTTTTATGGACCTTTTCCGGTTTTCCGTGGGACAGCCCTCGTATCACGTTTGGTTAGGGGGAGGGGATGGGGTGGGATGGAATGGGGTGCGTGAAGCTCTGGATAATGGGGGCTGTTTGCACTAATAACTTTTATTATAAAAGTAAGCATCTCTCAAGTGGCTGTTTGATGCGACGTTTTACTCCTATCCATTGACTTTGCAGAATTTTGTGACGTTGAACCCGAGCGGTTTTTGTGTGTGGTCAGCCAAGACAAGACAGCCCCTTCTCTCCCCCCCCCCCCCAGTTTAAATGTCCCCCCCCCCAGTTTAAATGTAGATAGCGTTATAGTTCACAGATCTTGCTTACAATTGATGAATCTCAAACCCTTGATATGTTTGTATGTACATGATTCATATATACATGTATATTTATATATATATATATATATATATATATATATATATATATATATATATATATATATATATATATATATATATATAATATACGATATTATATATAATATATGATATTATATTATATACTTCGAGTGTTGTGGTGCTGTGACAGTTTATTTTCATTTCCGTGATTACGCCTTGCGCACTGGCTTTTTTCCCTGCTCATTTCGTTTGTTTTGTATTGATTGTTTCACCATTCTCTTCGGTGTCGAGTGGTAGCGACGACTGATGCCTAGTTGCACTCAGCTTGTTTTCACCCCCGTTGATATTGCGACCTTCTATCCTTCTGAGCATTATGTAACGCTGTAACCCATAAATTTTAAGTTCCTTTATTATATTTCTGGTAATGTTATTGTTGTTTTTTTCCGGAATATGTTTTTTTCTTTTTTCTCACGAAATGTTGTTTACGTAACTGTTCCCTTTTGTCAATGTATTATTAACCAAACAACCTGCAGTTAGGGGTCAGGTGCCGATACCAACTGGGCTGGCTGAAATGTTTAACATGGGATCGTTCACTTAAACACGCACAAACAAAAAGAAATTTCACATTGTAGGCGTACAAACTGTAATTAAAGATTTAAGTTTTCCCTGCCGAATTGAGAAGTCGAATCAAAACTTTTTATTCTTCACTTGATTTAGATTTTTGACTAGAGTATCCGGTGCCACAGAAATGGACGGTTGGAAAGCACAGAAACAGCTCTCATTTTTGTGTGCGTGCGTGCGTGCAAGCAAATAGGATCAAAAGCAATTCTTGAAAGCTGTTCAAGTTTGCCTTTACTGGAATTGTTGATTGCTTTCCCAAGCCATACATATTCTTTCGTTGATGTTTCTTGTTACCACATTCACTTTCACTGTTTGAATATACGAAGAATGACTTTTGCGTAGTTGTATCGATGTTGGCATTTATTGCTATTTATTTATTTGATTCAGTTTCCTTCTTTCTTCTTATGGTGTCATTGTTGTACTTCCAACAGATTCTTGTCTATTATAGTTGAACAGAATTTCTATTAGTTGTTCTGGGCCAGAGATCATAATCAGTTATTTTAAGATTGTACATATAATTCCTGGCCAAGACTGAATAGCGGGTGGTAGGAGGGTGCAACTGGTAGGTCCTACTTCTTTTCTTTCCCTCTGTTGTTTCGGTATGTCTGTCTTACGTTTTCCCCAGCACTATATGACTATTATTGTGCCGATGTGGTTCTATTAACTCAAACAAGAAAAAAAAATAAGACTAAAGTTTTTGTACGACCACCTTACTGTTATTGGTGAAATCTCTTGCTGTGGTCATTCATGTAGATGTCAATAGTGTGTTGCTCAAATATAACGTTGTCTGGATTATTCTACAGCATTATTTTTATTTTCTGAGTGGTTGGAGGGCGTCACTGTCAGGTCTTACTAGTTTTCTTTACCTCTCTAGTTTCTCTCTGTCTATCGTGCTATTTTCCCGTGTCGTTCCTGTGGGGATGGTCGTAGGGTATCGGTAGTCAGACTGCCCTAACTCTTCCTTATTTCTGTCTGTTTACTTTTTTGCGGTCTCCATTTAACCATTTAAAAATGTCGTTCCACTTTTTGAAGCTAAATAATTACAAACGAAGCAGAGTTTGAGCGAATGTAGTTTAGCTTGTACAATTTCTCTTTCAATGATGGCTGTTTTGAAATACAAATATAGGGGAGTGTCCTTTTGTGTGTGTGTTTTTTTTACTCCATTATATTTGCTTTTCTTGAGCTAAAATAAGGAATGTAACATCAAAGTCACTTTACTTTGTTGTTGATTGGAGGATGCTCTGGTATTGTTTGCTCCTCTTTTCCTATCAAGTATATATCTTCCTTATGTCCTCTTTTTCTTTTTTTCTGTGTTACTCTATAGTACCACCTCTAATTTTTGGCTTTTATATGACCTATGTGTATTGAGAGTGCCGCGAAACTCTTATTAAAGTTGTAACTCATTGGTTATTCTATTTTCTTTCCATTGCATCTGCACAGATGGCTTCCGCAAACGACTCCAAATGGCAGAAAGACGCCGCCGACCAGAACTTCGACTACATGTTCAAGCTGCTCATCATCGGCAACAGCAGCGTGGGAAAGACGTCCTTCCTGTTCCGGTACGCGGACGACTCCTTCACTTCCGCCTTCGTCTCCACGGTGGGCATCGACTTTAAGGTCAAGACGGTCTTCAGACAGGACAAGCGGGTCAAGCTGCAGATCTGGGTGAGTTGTTTTGTTTGTTTGTTTTATTTGTTCTTGGGAATGAGTGGATACACGGTCTGGTTTCCCGGCGCTGTTGTCTGCGGTATAAAACTTGGCGTTTTCGTTAAAGGACGGTGGTAGAACCACATTTTGACAACTCCCCCCCCCCCCTTTATTGTTAATTTTTAATCTACTTTACAAGCGTCTTTCTTTCGTGCACAACGTGACGGTGACCTAAATATGAACCTTCCGAGGGGAGAAACCATGTGTGCGTATAGGGGACAAGACAAGTCAGTTCCGAATACATAGGGGGCTAACATTTGCTTTTACCAAAACGATATTGAAACCTTGGCAAGAATTTGAACGTGTTTACAACAACAAGGGGGGGGGGGCACGAAGTAGACATTGAAGTTTAAAACTTCTGTGTTATGTAATTAATGTGGTGATTTTTATTTGTTTCTAAACGGGCAATATAATTTCTGGAACTATGCTGTCGATTAGTACTAAAAGTAGCTTGCACGAACGTCACCTGCGTTGTTATTTAAGTTATTGAAAGTTGAGGATACTGATCACAAGCATTGTTCAATACATTAGTATCGTGCTCGCGCGAAGACGCTCTAAAGAGACGTTAAAACTGATGACGGTGTGCTGTAAGTCGCCACAACCACTCTAGGTTATGAAACGCCCTCCTGGCATTTTTGTTCTTGTCTTCATGATCCGATTCTTCTCATCTTATACTGTTTGCCCTTTGTAATATCTCAATGACCGTGCACTCAGTACTTATTACTTAGCTGAAGCCTGTTCTGGACTGCATTTATGAACCCGAAACTGTACTCTGAAGATAAACATGTATTCAACAGGGCTCGTAGATATATTCAACTCGACAAGTTCATGATGTTTAGCGATTTGGGTGCCTTGAAAAAGGTAGGAACGAGCTACGGGTTTTAATCATCTGCAACGACTTATGTTCACTGTTTGCACAATGTGAGCCAAACTAAGCACGGTGGACTCGCTTGGAATTAAAAGATTTGCCCATTACCCCCATTTGTACAGACGAATCCCCAGAAAATAGCCTAATGCAAAGATTCTAACCCCCGGGGCGGTGCTACTGACTGAAGTGTCTTTAGGCCATTCCCAATTGGGGGGAATTTCTCGTTCATGCACAGTAAAATTGTAATTGAAAATGGACTGATTCATCAATTTCATGCTCATAACTGTGCCTGAAGTGCAACAAGGAATTGCTGCTTTTCCCCCCTAATCCTTACTATCGTCATTTTCCTCTACTTCTTCTGTTTGTCACACTCTTGTGATCCGCTATTTCCGGGATGCCTTGATTGTCGAAGCAGAGTTTGTGCTCTTGAAGCTAGAGAGGTGAGCACAGTAAGCCTGTTTCCCTGCAAGGACTTCTCTGCTGACATCCACCCCTTGGCGCTCATATGACCTTACGCAGTTTCGAGCTCCGAAAGAACTCTACTAAACTAAAACTAAAAGCAAAGATTCTCCCAACCTGACCAGCAATATAAACCCGTCATAGAGAGTGGCGATGGGTTTTTAGAAGAGGGGGGGGGGTGGCCTTCGTAGGTTTAATGTTATACTTCCCTCAGTTGCTTTTCTCTATTCATTGTCTAACCTTTCTCCTACACATCCAAATGGTCGTTTTAATGTCTATGAGCCTGTTTTTGGGTGTTTAAAAAACAACAACTCCAACTCCAACGCACACTCTAGACTCCTGTAAAGTGCTACTTTATTTCGAACTTGGCTAGCCGATACACACCCATACTTTGCTTTAGTTGCTCCTACCCGTTACATGCTATCACCAGCTTGTCTGTTTTGCAGTGTAAATCCTTTGGAATGTGTATGTGAGGATCAATAAACGCATCTGTCTCAGTGGGCTCAAGGGGATGGGGGAGCTTTGGTTTATTATGATTATTACATGTATTTCTCTTTTTTAAAAAAATAAATACTAGCGAGATATTGCCTCGTGCGAATCTCCCTTGTGGCGGGCGAGCATTATACATGTATTGACCAATGATACGATGATAGGATTTTTCGGTCCACTGTCTTTTCTTTATGTGTAGTTGATAAAGATTTTCATAAGGTGTGGTCCCTCTATGTCTCTTCAGTGCCGTTTTTGTCCTTATGTGGTCTTCTTGTTATAATCTGTCGTTATCTTGAAGTTTTGCGAACCTACTTCTTTGTGTTGTGGTTTCTCTCCCCCCCCCCC